TATATATATTTATATCTAAGTTTAAAACGTAACTGTTTATTTGGTAATGTGGTTATGTGCCTTCTTTTGCTTACATTTGGTCCAGGTTTGAATCAAACACTTTATATTTATTTTTTCAGTTTAATTTTAACGAGCCGAACACGAACACACTGCAAGCCGATTTCGAACACGAACAATTTTGAACGAGCCGAACACGAGCCAAGTTTGAGCTCGCTCAAGCTCGGTTCGCTAATTACGTTATCTCTAATCTTTATAGTTTTTAATTTACTTATGTTTATCAGATCTTTATTTTGAGCACTTTTATGTAATATATGTTTAATTAATATGACACTCTTAGCATATTTATTAAAATGTATTTTTAAATATTTTTTATCTTTGGATAATATTATAAACATTTGGCAGGAAATAGTGATATGATTTTCTTAAATTTCTATAGCATAAATTTTAACCTATAACCTTTATTTACGAAGGTATAAATATATGATTAATATATATACTATTTTTTAAAAATTTTTATAGATTTATTGACAGATTATTTCTCTAAATTATAGTCTATTTTGTGATGAGTAGGGAGGTGTTATCGCACCGTAGATGGAATGCTTCACTACATAATTTTATAAACATGCATCACTACATGGAATGCTTCACTAAATTATTTCATACGGATCGAAAATTGCTCATCTCAAGATGCGTGCGGTGTTCGATCCTGACCGTAAATCACACGGTCAGAATGTATTTCGGTGGGCCCCACCTAATATTTTTTTTGTAAAAAAAGATCAGGTGATTTACGGTCAGAATGTATTTTGGTGGGACCCACCTATTTTTTTTTTAAAAAAAAATTAAAATAATCCTGACCGTAGATCATTAGGATCAGACACCACATGCACATGCATAGATGCATACGGTGTTCGTATGCAATAATTTCTCCGTGCTGAGAGTAGATCACCGTGATCTACGGTCAGGATCGGACATCACATGCATAGATGCATGCGGTGTTCGTATGCAATAATTTCTCCGTGCTGAGGGTGCGTTCCTTCGTTGGATTGGTTGTTACTCCACAAGGCTGCTCATTACCTTGCAGTAAGTTCACCAATTTTAACTAATATGAACTTTAACTAATAATATTGATCAATTATTGCGTACCTTTATCGCACGTAGAAATATATACGGTGAATCAATCAAAACACTCTCCCTATTAAAATATATGTCAGTGTCTTGCGTGCGCTGTCCGCACAGAATAAGAGCTCGATAATTTTGATGAATTTAATATGTCAATTTATATAAATATTATATGACATTTTAAAAATAAAAACTATTGAGAATAAGAATAAAAAAAGTAAAATAAAATGTCGCATTTTGCCTGCTGGAACGCGGAATCGCTTTGAAGACGCTAGACCTCCAGTCGAGATGAAGGAGATGGTTGTGGGATCCGAGATGGCCCGGCGAGAGGCGCCGTCACCGCCGCCGCAAGCCCTAGTGGAGAGGCTCAAGGACTACGGCCAGGAAGACGTCTTTTCATTCTGGGGGGAGTTATCCAATGAGGAGCGCGATCAACTCGTTAGAGACATCGAGGTGTTCCTCCTGACTTGTTTTATTTAGATCTGAGTAGGCATTCATTGCTGCCTCTCTGCCAATCAGAAGGAAAATGATTGATTTTTTCTTAGAACAAATCTGTGGAATATGATCCTGTCGTCGTTCATCTTCTGTTCCTTGAGCCGCCCAAGTAATTTTTCTAGGTTTATTTTACTGAATCTGTTATACGAGCTGGCAGTAATTATGTCTGCTTGACAGAGATGTATTAATTTATCTCTTAGGTTCTTTGGTGAACTAGTGCGTGATTCCGCTTGGTCTGCCTGCTGTGTAAGTAGATGAATCTTAGACAGGGTTGTGTACTTGTATGTTATATTAATAAAAGAGCACCCAGTAGTTGGGGCTTCCGGCTATAATGGTTGAAGGAGGGGCTTATGTTAAGAATCTGTTAGAGGTCACAATGGATTCAATTTTTCAGTGAAATCTAGCTGCTTTTGTTTTACTTTATTGAATTTTACAAATCAGCTGAAAATTTACCTCTTTCTCTTGTTAATTCTGCTCGTCCTATTTAGCCTTCTCATTAAACCTGTTGTTACCCATGCAAAAGTAAATTTTAAATGTATTTTGGATCCTAGCATTCTAATGAAATTTTGAATCCTAGCATTCTAATGAAATTTTGAATCCACCCTTTTTTCTCATACATGATCTCTTGTTCTATGTTTTCTTTGCTTAAAAAGATTGAAGTTTCTATCATGGTGTTTATATATGTTTTGTCTTGCCTAGTAGGACTGCTTCATTAATGTTGATTCACCCTTTCCTTAGGTTTGTTCATTAGTCAGTTAAGTTAAAATCATTTCGACATTTTTTCGTGTAGAGGAAGTTGAATTTCATCATGCAAATGCATCATCGTGACTTGTTTGATTTCAGGGCTTAGATCTTCCACGGGTTGACCGGATAATTCGTTGTTCACTGGGATCTCAAGGTGATACTTTTATAAACACCAATGAACTTGAATTAGTAAATTTTAATTCTTGTTCATTATTGAAATCGCTCTCTACTCTTTTCATTTTTGGACAATTTCATTTAGTAAAGGTCCTCCTCTGCCTGCTATTGAGCCTGTGCCCGAGAACTGTGTTTCCACTGTGGAAGAAAGAACTCTAACTGAAAGAGAGAGGTGGTGGAAGAGGGGATTGAAGGCCATCTCAGAAGGCAAGTTAGCAGTTGTGCTTCTATCCGGCGGGCAGGTAAGCAACTATTCCTTATTATTTCCTTATTGATTGTATTGTTGTTATGCCAATTTATATTTAGTACTAACTTAATACTAGCTTTTACATATCATTTCAATGCTTCAAATATATCATTTTCTATTTCTGCTTTTATCGTCACAGGAAGAAACCAACTCGATGGTATAAATTTATAGCTTGAACTAGATGAATCATAGATCATGCGTGTGGAAAGAATATTAATCTTATAGATTTATTTAGGTTTATCTTCTACCTACTTGAATTTAACAGTCTGCCAATGTTCAAGAAGTAAATATTGTGCTGTCCTAAAAATACAAGTCTTAAACCCAACTTTTATGTGCAATTTTTTTGTCAGTATGCTCACTATTTCCATCATAAAAATAGCTTATTATCTTACTTTTAATTCCCATTATTACTTCTTGGTAATTTTCTATTTTACGTGTTTTATTTGTCTAGCTTAGATAACTTCTCTATGTTAATGGGATGTTTATATGTTTACTCATTTTTTTTCCTCTTTATATCTGATGCAGGGAACTCGGCTTGGAAGTTCAGATCCCAAGGGTTGTTTTAGTAAGTAGTTGATATTGGATATTTGTTATGTGTATAATACAGTCATCAGCATTCTTGTTGCCAGTTTTCCGATTTATTTCTTCAGTCCTTTTGTATAAGACGAAATCTTGGAGTGATAAACATAAATTTTTATGTGATGTAATAGTTATACCATAGACCACATGTAAGCTTGGTAAAAGCCTTAAAGAAAAATGAGTTCCCCTTCTTAATTTTCTTGTTTCTCTTTTTAACTCAGTCAACTTTTTTTTGGTCCCGTTAACTTCAAGAATTATTGACAAATATTATCACAAATTTAATTATTTATTAAAGCTTGTGCTTTAAAGTCTGGAGGGTGTGCGGCTGCATGCGTAATATCATTCAATATTATCATTAGATGGGAAGAGACTTAAAGTAGTAGAAGACCTGAGATTGTCTTCTGCATGTGATATATAGTGTAGCTTGTTGAAGCAAAAAAGAATTGTTTGACAAATAAAAACATGAAGCAGTCACTGGGCAGTCATTGCTCGAATAGAGTTTTGTGGCTAACATGAACGTTTACGGCATTTCTGACTTAAAAAATTAGAGCTGAATTTTTTTTAACACATTTTTAAATGCACACTAAGATTATTTTTAAAATTTATATGAAGTTCTTTACTATTGTGTGACAAAGTAGAAGGAGATTTTGTTTCTCCAATTCTATACACATAACAATGTAAATAAACATGCAAATATTCACAGACAGATAAAATTTATGCATCTCCCTCTGATACAAATATGTGCTTTCTTAAGGAAAATTGAAAACTATTTTAACACCAGCAAATCAGAGCACGTCATTAGGTGACTCTTATATAACAGTTTATCTTTGATCTAGACATTGGACTTCCATCCGGAAAATCACTTTTCCAGCTGCAAGCTGAACGAATATTATGCGTCCAAAAGCTTGCTGCTCAATCAGGTGATGGTAAGTTATAATGTTTACTATACAGGTTAACTCCACATTTTCTTCAAAATAGAATAGTGTCTTATGGCTGCTCATCTTGCAGGTCCATCTACTGTTACTCCAATTCATTGGTATATAATGACTAGCCCATTCACTGATGAGGCGACTCGCAAGTTCTTTGAAAACCGCAAATACTTTGGTTTAGACGCTGGCCAAGTAATATAGTGTAAACTGTGTGCTTTTTATTTTCAGAAGCTCATATGTGCTGATACTTCTGTTTTGATGTAAGGTTACTTTCTTCCAACAAGGCACCCTTCCCTGTGTTTCCAGGGATGGTAGATTTATCTTGGAGACTGCATGCAAGGTATTCTTCTTTGCTTCCATTGCTCCTTTCATGCTTTGATTTTTGAGGCTAGCAATTGCCTTTAGTGCCTGCTTGAATGTATGCAATTAACTTATCTTTTTCGTCTCGCAAGTTTGGAAAGTGTTTAAGTGATGATCTGCCTCTATTGGTTTCTGAATGGTCCCTTTTCACATCATTCAACAAGAAATCTGATCATTAGCAAAAGTTTACACTTCTAGTTTACTTAATTTGATTTTAAATTTGCAAAAGAAAATTTCTTGTTTAGAAAATTTTTAGAAAATTAAGTAGGTATTTAATATTAATTGCATCACCTCTGGAATTAACAATGGCTGATCGTCTGTTGTTTGTTTTTGGGTAATAGACCCCATGCCTTTTATATAGGCAATTGCGGAGGTATTTAGTGTTTATCCTTTCACTATTTTTGTTTTAAGATAGAACCCTTCGGACGGCATAAAATATATTTGTCTAAGAGGCAAAAAGGGGCCAATAGGGTTTATAGGAGGGATTTTGAGCTGCCTTTGGAGACCAGAGAGAGCCACAACTTCCTTGGAGAGCTCTTGAGTCTTTGGAGGAGCTTTAGGGGACTTTTTCACAAGCAAGTTAGAACATTCCACCCTCATCATCTTGTTCAATTTTATTAAAATGAGGAATTACAGAATCTAAAGAGAATTTTTTATATAACCCATCAAAATTTAAATGCGACGATTTGTTTAATTATTCAAGGATTTAAATTCAACTAATAGAAACATTGGTACTTAATTTTTGTAGTTTGATTACGAATTAACATCTTTATATACCTGCAGTGCTTTCTTTACACATAAAATATGATCCACGATAGTCTTCTGAATTTTTTATTTGTTGAATTTTTGTTTAACATGTTAATTGTTATCTGTAATTTTACTATCGACTGTTTAAAAATGGTAAATACTCCTATCTTCCAATATTTACTTCACAATTTGTAGTTCTGTTCTCTCTAACATTTTATTTTAAATCCTTAAAATTTGGTTTTTATTTGCTAGGTGGCAAAGGCTCCGGATGGAAATGGTGGACTATATGCTGGTATTGAGAGATATTTTTTGAAGCACATCTGGAATGATGTTTTCCTTGTTTTGTTCATTTAGAATCTACTGTTTTAATTCCCAATGTTGTCTTCTATGGCAGCTCTAAAGTCTTCGAAACTGCTGGAAGATATGGCCATGAGGGGTGTGAGATACGTGGATTGCTATGGTGTTGATAATGCATTGGCAAGCATTTTCTACCTTTTAACTCTAACTTTCGCAATCTCTTTTACTGTCTAGAACACCTATATAACTTTTGAAGGCAGGTTCGTGTTGCAGATCCAACATTCTTGGGATACTTCATTGACAAAGGTGTAGCTACTGCAGCAAAAGTTGTACGCAAGGTGCATTAAAACCTGGAATTCCTTTCCAGCAAAAGAACACATTTGAATTGTTTTTCCAATTTAGTACATTCTGTTAATTGCTGTCATTCAAAGCACTTTTTGATTAACTTCATCACTGCTTATTTCAGTTGAAAACTTTGCTAAAATTTATCTATTTAGGAACATGAGGCGATGCCACCTATTTCTAATCCATATGAGGCTGCAAATCTAAAATTAACCAGGAAAATAAATGTAAGATCTATTGGTGCTTTAAGCAAAATAAAACAGAAGGAAGCTAAATTGTTAATACATCTGAAAATGAGTAAATTAATATGGCAAACATTTGTTAGGTTCTTCTGTAGCAGAATCGTCTCTTTTTTAAGGGAATTCTCTGTCTATCTTTTCTATTCATTAGAAAAAAACCTCTAATATAAACAGAGGAAAGAATAGAATGTCTCAAGGAACAATTGAAGAGGAAAGAATAGAATGTCTCAAATAGAATGTCTCAAGGAACAATTGAGTAATACCATTTTATAGCTATCTTATTTAACAATGTAGTCATACATTATTCATTAGAAAAAAACCTCTAATATAAATAGAGGAAAGAATAGAATGTCTCAAGGAACAATTGAGTAATACCATTTTATAGCTATCTTGTTTAAAAATGTAGTCATACATTATGCCTTTTTCTAGCATGATGTTAAAACTTTCTTTCAATTTGGAGCATTTATATCAATAAGCTCTAATTTATTACATTGACAAGTAAAGATAGTGCACTTATTGCTTTGGTGAGATATTTATTTTTTGATTTGTACTAGACATGAAAAGTGGTAATCTTCTAAGCCATTATGATGTCAATGGATGAAATAATAATCTATTTTAATATTTTTTATCCATTTATAAAACACTTTATTGCTGACAATGTATATGGCTTTAGGATTGTCATAATTTAGAAATATACACTCGGTTATTGGAATGTGAACTCTTTTAAGAGTGCCTTTACCTCATAATTTGACATACATAGTGAGCCATGGATTTGGCCACAACAGTTTACTTTTTATTCTTTTTGGTGATATGATTGCCTCACACAAAAATACAATACCTAGAGGTTTCTTGTCATCAATAGATCTAATATAGTTGATATTGGAGAATGTTTCAATATTTAAATGCCCAATTTGAGCATGTTACAATCCTTTATAGAAGCATTTTTTAATAAATCTGAGAATGCGAATAATATCTTCCTAATCTATTTGGAGTTTTGCACATGCTGGCTTACAGACCCTATATCAAAATACATGAAATTTCATAATTGTTAGATAAATTGAATTTTAGCCAACCTTTAATGTTGACATGAATCATCATATGGTAAATTATCTTTAGAAATGGTTTAGTTTTTGATGAGGGAGGAAACTAGTTTGCATCCTAGAAGATCATTTACTGTAAGGTAATTAGTAGCTTATTTACTTTGCAATAGAAATTTCTCTTCCTTAGGTCTTTGGTTACAAAAGAATTTATGTAAGTAGTATTTTACTTTTGATTTTACTTCTTAGCCACTCTAGCGAGCAATATATCATCAACATAAATTGCTAGCATTATTGAGCTTGTGCTATTGTATATGTCTAACATGAATAGAATGTTTGGTGGTGTTACTGCAAAGACCAATTTCTGCTGGAACTTTATAGAACTTATCAAACCAAACTTGTTGATTGTTCTTAAATAGGTAGATCGATTATCCCTTTCAGTTATGCACCTAAGTGGTTACATCCTCATTTAGATTATCATAGAGGAAGGTGTTTCTAATATCCTTTAGTAGCATGTGCAATCCTTGATTTATGACTACAAGGATAAGAATTCTATTTGAGTTGATATTGGTAATCTGTTATGTAAACTTTTGTACAGATTTTGGCAATCGATTTTGAGCTTTTATTAATCAATGGAGCCACTAGGATGAAACTTCACAGTGGAAACCCATTGCCAAGTGATTGCTTTGATCAAATAGGAATGAATAATCAATTCCCATGTATTTTAATTACAAAGGGTATTCATCTTCTCATCTATAGCTCGCATTCTTAGATGATATTGCAGTGATATGAGATATGTTTTTGGGAGTAATGATAATCAACAGGAGCGTTATGAAACGTTTATAAGATGGTTATTGATGGTTAAATGTCATGAAGAAGTGAATAAAGGTATGTAATTAGCTTCAGGGGAATGCTCAGTTAACATAGATAGGATGACAGGGAGGTATTGCAAGGGGTGTTGGTTGAGGCTGTCTTTCATACATTTGTAGAGGACTAATTTAGCATGGTCATCATTAAATGTAACAAAATAATCTAACATCAACGGAGTTAGAAGAATCAAACCTTGAAGATCATAATGAATTAATAAGGACAGGATGATGACTAGCATTTGATGATGGTAAGGACAAGATACTTACCTACCTAACTTGTTGAGAATATAAATTTTATGGGAAGAGGTGGCAAATTTTTGAAGTTGAGTGGGAGGAAGATGGCCAAGTAGTAATGCCATTGATCATGAGTAATAGCAGAGGTAATGTCAAATTAAATGTTGGTTTAAAATGGTAGATTTTCTCATTATTCAACAGCCTTATAGGTCATTTTCCTTGAGTTGAAATCTTGAAAAACAAAGTAAATCGGATGAAAGGTTATATAGCAGTTTTAGACCGTAGTAAGATAGTGTAAAAATCATACATTTATTAGAAATTGAGGGACATATAACACACTCAAAAGAGAAGTGATTTGGGATGGATGAACAATGTCTTTTTCTAAAATAGAGGATGTTTAATCATTGATGACAATAATAGTTAGAAAAGAAGATGCATGCAAACTATTTGTCATATCTGAAGGTGCATTTGAATCTAAAACTTATGATGAAATCAGTTTTGTTATCAACAATAGAACTTGAGGAAGAAACAACATGAGATAATGAAACTGAGGAATTTGACTATTGAAATAAGAACTAGGTTTTATAATGAGGCATACAAATAAAATTGGAAGAAGCATCAGAGGAAGATGATAGCCTAAAGCTTTTGGTTGATGTTTGTTGAGCATTTAAAGGATAACCATAGTTTTTAAGCATCATTTAGGAGCATGATTCATGCGGGTGCAACGAGAACATGCAGTAAAAGATATTCTTATGACCATGACCACTGCTAATTTATCCTGCTCAACCACAAACCTCTTGTGAACTTTTGTGCAATCAAAAAGACAAAATTATATTGGGCCAAAGATTGGGGATTTGAAAATAATTTGATGCAAAGAACAAATGATAGAACAATTGAGCTGTGTGGAATGATTGAATTTACTATTAATTCAAATTATATATCTGGAAGGGAATAATAAAAGTTAAATAAAAATTTGGAAACAAGAAATTATTCATTCTTTTTCATTTATGAGAACTGGATCAATAATAAAGTGGCAATATTGGATTAACTCATCTTTTTTCTTTTTATTATTAAAAAAATCATCTTAATCTGCTGCAATGCTTGTAAATCAGTAGATCTCTTTTTTTTTTAAAATAAAATATGTTAAAATAATGTCTAGATACATGAGATTACTTTTTTGAAAGAATGTGGAATGAAGAAAATCTCACAATTTCTTGGCGTTGTTTTGAAACATGATAGTAGAAGCACTGGATGGTTAACTAGCTTTAAGAAGCTAAGTAAAAGGAAGTGATTGAATGCTTGCCATTTTGATAGCACGTTGGTATCATTTCTATCTCGAGGAGAAGGAATCATTTCTATCTCGAGGAGAAGGAAAGGGAGTTTTTTGTGTTGATAGAAAACAAATCGAAAATGCCTAAACCACCAGAGTTTAGTTGATCTGATTGACTTAATGGATAATGGAAGAAGGCCGTGACATTGAAGGTAGGGAGATGTAAAAATGTCAAGGGTGATTTTATATCATCAAGCAAGTCTTAGAAAACTGGCAAGAAGGGTAGATAAGAAATTTAGAGATCAAAACGGGTGCGGGCCAATGCAGATGTGGGTGTGAAGGAGCGAGTCGATTGACCATATTAAGATATGTGCATAGCACTTGACTATGTTTTTTTACAGTGAGATGTTAGCATAGGTGTAGGATTAGGGAGGAGAGGGAAGTGTTATTCAAGTGAGAATGCAATAGAGGAGGCCAAGGTTGAGTGAGGTTGGCATATCCTTGGGAGGCTGAGCGTAGTAATTAAGAAATTACCAGCTTTGATTCATGAAGCATCTGGAGAGACCGATTGTGGAGATTGATCATGACGAGGCCAACAAATAGAGATGAAGGGACAACATGATCGAAAATAGAGGTTGCAATGACTTACAATGGAGGGAGGGGTGATCTACCAAGGAGTGAAAGGGGTGGGGCGATTTTTTCTAGGGTTTCAACCCTACCTTAGATATCATTTTGAAGAAAAATCTATTCCTTCATTAGATAAGACCTCTATTTTCTTTATTTTTTCCGCAATAAAAGAATACATGTTTATGACCAAGGAATGAATAAGGTTCATTTTCACACATAGCACCCAATTCTTATGCACTTGCATTTCTAACACCTAAACTTTATATTTACATTTAT